GGCAGAAAATTTGTCTGCGTTTTGCTTGTCTCCAGAGACTTTGCCTGACACTGAGATTAAGGCTGGTGGACTACTTAATCTGGCAAACAAAATTTCAAGGTAGTCCAATGTTGGGGCAGTGGCATGGCTATTGTTGAAGGCTTTTACCCAGATTTATGCTGAGAATCAAAGAGCCCAGCAGGATGATTTAAAATGTTGTGAGTTGGGGGCTGGGGATTTAGCTCAGCGGCAAAAGCGCCTGCCTGGCAAGTGCAAGGTCGTGAGTTCGGTCCCCGGTACCGGAGAAAAACCAAAAAACCAAAAAAAAAAAAAAAAAAAACCACTGAGGTGCAGCAGAGGGCAGACTTTGCTCTAATTTATTTGAATTAATTTTTTTTTTCTTCAGCTTTTTATATACCCCTCTATATATAGAACAAGCCATCACCAAAGAATTTCTTTACACAAAGTTCTCATTGCTGGAAAAACTTTGAAAGTATTAGCCTTCTGTTTTAAATAATCCAATAATTCGGTCCGTGGTCATCTGCAGTGGAAACTTCAGCTAATACGGACATTTTGGAGAGATTGTACCTTTTCTTGGTACGCTCTCCTCATGAGATAACAGTGTACTTAGATAACTCCTTCCAGAGGAGTAAAGTCTGGACGTAGGAGATGAAAGGAAAAGTACTTTTAAATGAAATAAACATATGAGGGAACTAGAAAAATTAGTAATAGTGGCAGAATAAGCAACTATCCATTTTGTTTTATTACTTACTAGTAAAAGATGTGGTTTTTTTCTGCTTATTCAGGGGAAACAAAGATAATCCGATCGGACTGGTAAGATTTATCGTTCGATATTGGCTATGAAGTCAGGACTGTCAGGCATAGCTCAAGTGAATAGTATTTTCAATTCCTACATGAATTAAGAGAGTAACTGATTTTGACTACTGACTAGTAATCAAAGTGACTTTCATGTTTGTATCAGCTCCTTTTCATAATTACCCTCCAGTTAATTTGAACATGTGTGGATTCATGATGAAAGGACACAAATACTGGATATTAGAATGAGGACTGTGTATTCCTTTTCCAGAAATAAATAGGAAGGAAAAGTGAAATTAGCACCAGGATTTCTTATCATCTGTAACCTAGAAATTTCTTTCCAAAAAAAATTTATTTTTCTTTTACTATTGAGTTATTTAGTTATTACTCTTGTTTTCATGTCCTTTTTTATACTCTTCTTTTTAAAAAATTACTGGTTTGGTTTAAAAAACCCCACTAGTTTGATATTAGTTTTGTCTTCAAACCACAAGGCTTGGGATAACTAATTTGATCCCTCGGCATCTGACACAAGTTATTTTATTATTGTCTCATCAGTTGATTTACTTTGACATTAAGGCAACAAAATTAAATATAATATTTACCTATGGGGAGTAGCTACTCTTAGCCCAGCACTGGGCCAGTTCAGGTACCTCCAGATTGCTGGAGGTGGGGATTTCTCCTGGATGCCATGACTGTTTTGGTTTTTTTCCAGTACTGGGACTCAAACTCAGGACCTTGTGCTTGCCAGGCAGGCACTTTTGCTGCTGAGCTATATCCCTGGACCAAAACGGAGTGACTTCTTTTTTGGTGGGGGGATCTTTTTGAGACAGGGTCTCGCTGTGCAGTTCAGGCTGGCCTTGAGCTCACTTTGTAGCCCAGGCTGGTCTCGAACTCACAGTGATCCTCCTGCATCAGCCTCCCAAGTGCTGGGATTACAGGCATGCACCACCATGCCCAGCTGGGTGCCATGATTCTCTCCTACTAAGCACAAAAGACCCTACTTCTCAAATCTTTTCATGCTCCAAAATCCCTCAGTTAATCCACAAGTATTTATGAAGCGACACCTATGTGCTCTGTACCATACCTGGGCTTGAGGAAATACAGCAAAAGGTATAAACCTTCAATCTGAAGACCTTGCAGAGATTAGTAGGTTTGAAACAGTAGCATGGAACAACAGAGGACACTGCTCCATTGTGTTAAATCTGATCCCAAGGAGCACCGGAGAGGTACACAGGGTGGGAATCTCTTTCAGCTGGGCTGGTCAGGGTGGGCCATGGAGAATATTCAGGTACCCGGGCCATTTGTTGAGCACTTACTATGGGCCAGATATTGCACAGGTGCCTTACATATATTCTTTCATTATATTACTCCCTATTCCCATTTTTACAAATGAAGAAGACAAGCCATAGTAAGTTAAATAATATGCCCAGGGCCTAAGGCGGCTGAACTAGAATTAAATCTGTGCTCTGTGTACTCTGCCAAACTGTCACAGAGGAGTCTTAGAGTTCCTGCCTGGCCCACCCTGCCCAAGTGTTAGTCACATTTCTGGTGCTGGGACAAAACATCTGTCAAACACAACTTAAAAGAGAGAAGAATCATTTTGACTTACGGTTTCAGAGGTGTCAGTCCGTGGTTAGCTGGCTCCAAGACAAGAAACATTGTGGTAGAAAGATGCAGTGCAGAAAAGCTCTACCTGATGGCAGCCAGGAAGCAGAGAAAGAGAAAGCGGCCAGGGACAAGAATATACCCTTCGAGGCTGCTCTGCCTGCGACCTACTTCCTCCACGCTGGCCCTGCTTCTAGCAGTACATTCAGATACAAAGTCACCAGTGGACAATCCATTGAGGAGGTCCGTGTCCTTGTACTCCTATCCCTTTCCAAAAGCCCTGCCTCTGAGCATGTGAGGCTTTTGGAGGACATTCTAACCCACACCAGAAACATTTTCAGCATTCCTTCTGAAATTCCCTAAGTACCTGTTTATACTACTTCTCTTCACTGTATTTTACAGGGTTAGTGCCTGTGAAAGGGTTACTGCTCAGGGGCAGGGTCTCAGTCACTCTGCTTGCTGGATTTCCCTCCATGTTTAGCCAAGTGTTTACCCGTTTGTATTTATATCAGTCTGCTATTTTCTGAATGAATAATTCCATTGGCCGCTCATTTTGCACCCATACTCCCTAAAATATTCTGCTGCATGGAGTGAGTAATCTTATCTTACTATTCCATTTGGATGGGATATTTAATTAGGATTTCTTTCTATGTGCATAATAAGAAGCACATCTTAAGAAAGAGAAGAGTGAAATTAAGACTGCGTTTCCTTTAGACCCAGAATCGCTAGATGTGCTATTTAAGTAATATATTCCTCTTTGGGAATGGAGCAGGGAAAAGGTTGGTTTCCTGAAATAATTATTGCTATGGTCATAATCAGCCAATTTATTTGGACAGGACATTCCCTGAATTGGTCCTGTCAAGTCCAAGCAGAATAAGAAATTGCAATTTCATCAGCTTTCCAAAGTTAATAGCTTTGTTTTATAATTTGCTGAAGTTAATGGGATAAATTCCCATTGATGTTAATGGGAGTTGTGTGCCTAAATCCCCCAGTATTATTTGAAAGTACGGTTCCATCTACCTCACAGCCCTCTTTCTGGAGGAATCACTGCATGTATTTTCTTGCTGTTGGTAGTGGTGTTTATGTTTTCATCAGCGAAATGCTAAGGTGAAAAAAAGCTGGTCAGATTGCTAAGATATGTGCAAAACCAAGCTAAATTTACTTCAGTGTGGCATTTGGATCTACTCTGTATTTTATTTTATTTTATTTTATTT